ACAAAATTGGTAGGGGTATGGGAACTCAGATACCAGAGGTTTTAGAGAGAAATACACCAGGTGAGCTGGCTTCTTAGAAGATGGGCAGAAGCAACGGAAAGTGCTCCACCACTATCTCAAGGGAACAGGTTAGGGCTAGACTATAAAGACCAGAAAGTTTGAAATTTGAGACCTCAATTGTACCACTTATGTCAGGACCCAAAGGTGCTTTTTCAGAAGGCAACTGGACTTTGTTTTTTTCTTTTGAAAAGCAAAACGTCTTCAAAAGATGAGAAGTGAAATGTCTTCAAAAGAAAAAGCAAGAAAGTCCAGTTGCCTCCTGAAAAAGCACCTTTGGGTCCTGACATAAGTGGTACAATTGAGGTCTCAAATTTCAAACTTTCTGGTCTTTATAGTCTAGCCCTAACCTGTTCCCTTGAGATAGTGGTGGAGTACTTTCTGTAGCTTCTGCCAATCTTCTAAGAAGTCAGCTCACCTGGTGTCTTTCTCTCTAAAACCTCTGGTATCTGAGTTCCCATAACCCTACCAATTTTCTGGTGAAAGGTAAAAGCATCCCAATTGCTGTAATGGCATTTGTCGTGGCCATATCATCATTTGCCATCAAGTAATTTTCAACTCCTAGCAACCATATAGAGAGATCTTCTCCTAGCCATAAGGTGACATATAATTTAGAAGAATTAGTATTGCTCCACTACCCTCTGAAGGAGACAGATCAATTTTAGAAGGGATAAAGAAGAACCAAATTTTAGAAAGAAAAATATAGAAATCATTGTTTTCTACTTTTAACATTGTAAAAATGTAGCGATTCAGGATCTAACCTACAGGGACAGACAATATAAAGCAGCAGCAGAAAAATGTGTTAAACTGACCCTCCCTGTCCCCCGAAAATAGGCAGTGATCTGATGTAATTCCACAAGGCCCCGAGTTTTACTGAGTTAAAAAAAATCCCTATGGTCTCAACATGTTTGAAAGGTTTACAGTTTCAGAGTGTGTGCAAAAAATAAAAAGACGACTGGATTTAAGCATACACTGTCAAAATAAATTAAACTTTAATGCAGATTCTGCCTAAAATATTTATCTAGTTCTTAAAGTTAACCAGTTTCTCAAGGCAAAAGTGCTTCTTTTGCCTGGATCGTCTCTGGAAACAATTATTAGAGCTTTTCAGGAGATGGTGCACCCCAGTTCAGGCACAGCAATTCCGTTCCCCATTTCCCCAGGGTTCTGCCTCTGAATTTTCAACAAAACAACTCCTTTTTTCTCCATCTGGAAAGGACCTAGCAGAAGTTTATATTCAAATCCAGATGCTGACTAGCACTTAGAACGGCAGGAAGGCTGCAGCATTGTGAATACTAGCTGGTGTTTCACAAGAAGTTCACTCTTTGTATCTATGCATCAAGCTGTAATGTATTTCTTTCTACTTTCTAGTCAAACGAATACTCAGTAATGGGTGCGCCATCACCGGGAGTTTTCAAGAAGAGATTGGAAAGCCATTTGTCTGAAACAAGGTCCCCGGCTTGAACAGGGGGTAGGACTAGAAGACCTTCACGGTCCCTTCCAACTCTGTTATTCTATTATTCTGATAATTCCCACTCTCTCTCTCTCACACACAGAGATGCATACAAATATATACACCGGGTGCACATTATAACCTACCAAAGCTGGATATGATGGGTAACCCCGGCATTTGGCCCACACTAAGTCCAAGGCATCCAAAGGAGAATCTTCATCTTCAGAGAGCCACCCGGCTGATCGGCTGATACTCTTCCGGACTACTGCACAAAGAGGAAGGGGAAAAGGAGAGGGTCTGTGTCAACCTTTTGCCGACCTAGCCCTGATGGGGAAACCAGAAGAAATTGCTATCCTATACTCACTGCCATGGCCCACACCTCGGCCGGTCCCCACCGAATAGGACTCGTTTTCCGTC